AGGGCTGAAACATATTGTCTCAGTAATAGCTCTTCCACCTCAGAGAAATGTATTGGTGATTCTGGAATTGCACTTATCTTAATTTCCACCAAGTCAGGCACAAAGCCCCTTCCTCTATGCCAAAAGTCCTCCAAAGTTTACATTCTTGCCCTGCAGAACACCTCTGACAGCTGATAACTCAGAGCTGAATAATTGAAGCACACCTTGTGCCCACGCAAATGACTATGTAAACAGCCCTTAAGATTGGTTGCAATAATGTCACACTGATATGGTCATTTTCACCTGTAAGATGCAGTATTGTGTGAGTTATCATGACAGTGGAATGACCACTTCTTTCACCAATGAACTAACAGTGTTCTATGAGGCTGAGACAGTTTCTTGAATACTAAAGGATTTATTCTGCCCTAAAACACATGCCAGAATTTTGAGCAGGTAAAGTCTGCACATTTTAGGACCTCTCCTCTTCCACGTTAATAATAGGGACTTTTACATGAAGCACCAACAGTTTTGTGGACTTGCACACACGTAAGTGTTGCCGTCTGTGTTTCTTGCCACCGCGGCTGTCTTCTCTAGTTCGGTAATCAGAGTGGTTTGATGCAATACACACTACAGAAGTTTTGGGTGAAGTTTTTTTAACATTTCAATCAACTTTTTGCCTTGTCATGGAGAAAAATTAATTCTTCTAGCTTTATTCACATTTCCAGGCCAGTTTTTGTAAGAATTGGTGTAATATTTGTGCATTTTTGCTTTTCCCACAGGCATTGATTTAATATGTCAGCTGAAAAGCATCTCAAGTAAGTTTGCTCACGCTTGTTTTGCTTTTCCTTTTGGTTCCCATTTGATAATGAATGCTAACACTCTTTGTCTTAACTACTTCCCAATGTTTGAAAGAAAACTTTTTGTTAATGAAGTTTTATTGTAAGAAATTTTTTATTGTTAGGTTTATTTTCATTCACTGAAGATTTAAAAGATTAAGCTCAAAATATATCTTCTGAAACTTGTGGATGGTTTTCAACTCCAGGTGACCACAAAGTGAAACCAAATGAGTATTTAAGCATGCTAAGGTGCGTTGCTAGACGTAAAAATGTGCTATGTTTATTTAATTATTAAAGAATATCCTCATTTCAGTATACGAAAAAAACTTACAGCAGTATTAGCCATACACAGTCCTCTACCGCCTGTTTTTATTTGAGCATAGTTTTAAAAATCGATTCAGTCTACTCCTGATTGAATTAAAAACATTTCCTTGTTTTGCTGTTTGTAGTGAGGTTTGAAGATTATTTTCAATTATTCAATAATTTGTTCATTATTTTCAAGCATCTTGAATCCCTGAATAATGGAAATGATTACATTCATGTCTGATCGTTTTGCATTACTGAAGGGCTGCAATGGAGTGGAGTGATGACCATGACGTGATGCTGTGTAGGGAGATACTGTGCAAATACCCTTTCCAATTTAAGTAGGGCAGCCCTGACAGGGTTGAAGTGTGGTCTGAGATAGCAAGGTCACTCGATAGTTGTAGAGAGTTAAAGTTTAACGTAAAACAGAGATCAGTCAGAGATGGGGTTGCCCTTTTACAAGCGCAGTACAAAGAAACAAATAGAAAGGACAAGACAGGCAGCGGAACATCAAAACAAATGTAAGAGTTAGACCAGTTATTGGAAGATATCACTGAAAAAGAGAAAGATAGTGAAGAGAGTTGAAATGCTGTTAATGCAAGGGAAAGGGTAGGCCAGACTAAGAAAAGACAAGAAGAGGGAGAGGAGACAGTGAGCACTAAGGGAAGGTGCAGAAGTGGAGATATGTCTATGGGATACCTCAGAGAAAAAAGCTAAATAGAAAGAAAGAACTGAAAAAGGCACAGTTAGCACTACAGCAACACCAGGCAGCACAGGGCCAGGCCCATAAGCAGGAAATGATGAGGATAATACGACAACAGCAGAGTCAGAACATGACAGCCTTGCTAGTGCAACAACAACCACAGTTTATGTGTCATGTAGAGTTTTCCTAAAAAGACATAGTAGTTATGTTGTTGTCAATTGTCATTCTCATCATTGCTTTTAAATACCATTAAGTGTGAAATACGTCATTTTAAAATAAGAAGTTAGTGTGCTATTCTGCTTATTTGAGTTATGTAACAATACATTCTTCAGCAGGGCTGTCACTGAGGAATGTTTTTGCTCTTGGTGACGGAGAACAGCTTTGCTATTGTACTGCTCAAGGACAAGGCCCCAGTAATATGTCATCCATACCTGACTGCCTTTTCACACCTGCAAGTCATAAGAAAGTACTTTTGTTCAATGCCAACAACTCCCAATGTTGGCAAGCTCACTGCTTATCAGTGATAAGTTTCTCAGTTAATCTGCCTTGGTTGTTTGTCTCTGCATATGCTACACTTGACATTTTTCTTGCAGTCCTTAGCTGTGTCCTTGGGTTAATCAGTGATGGAGTCAAGCATGTCAACATCAGCACAAAGCTGGTCAAATTCTTGTATGTTTGCTGCACTGCTAAAATGCCCTCTTAACTCTATCCATAGTTCACTCCACAGTGCAATAGGATCAAAATGTTTGCACTTCTGATAGTTGTCAACAAAATCTTTAAGGCTTTTTGCTCATATACTTTGCAGATAATCAATCTCCTGGATGGCAAAAACTTTACAACTTATGTCTTAGCTTGAAGGCCATGTTCCATGGTGGAAAAGCTTGGGATCTCCATTAAAAATGTGTGGGTGGCACTTACACAAATTTGACACATGAGGCCAAGGCAATTTCGTGATTTTATGTGGTAAGTGGTTGTATTAACTGGCTGGCAGTTAAGTTTATTGGGGTTGATGCTACAAATGTTTGGCTATAGGTCTGGTTATTGTAATCAGTCTCTGCCTGGGGTGTAGCAATGTGTGGTTTTCTTGGCAACACTTTGGACATTCCATTGAGTGAAGTGTTTGCCTTCTTAATGTAGGTTTTTAAATAGGGAATTGTCCTTTTGTGCAACCAAGTTAAGCCAAAAAAATGTTGTGTATGTCAATGCTTTGCTACTTGGATACAAGTGACAAGAAAGACACAAGCCTGTCTCAAATGATTTGTTGAATTGCATACTCTAATTTGTTAATAACTACATGTGCTTGAGCTAGGATTATGCTTTAAGGCATTGCAGAGGCTCCTGAATCCCAATAATGTTTTCCTTTCTCTTTACTAAAGAGACTCCTCAATAAATGATAGTAATAATAATAATAATGATGATGATGATAAGTATTAGGAGCATATATAAAAGGTCTCTATGCTTTTACAATTGAAGAGATGTAGAAACCTATTGAAGCAGAAAGGGCTGTTGCCAGTTGATATTGGCAGCAAAATATATCTAAATCTCTATATTCAAACTGTGCATATTAAAACGTAAAGAATAAAGTGCTAATAATATATATCTCTTTAATTATGTTTCACTGGGCTTTTGAAATTAATTAAAATATTTGACAAGCAGATCCTGCTAAGCATCAATATGGTATCTGCAGCTTCCGACCCCTCTCAAGTTTGCCTTTACCTTATGCCATATTTGCCCCCACACTTTTTGAGTTCCACCCCACCAAGTCAAGTTCGCCCCCAGATTGAGTAATGTCCAGATGAGTTGATTTGTGAGTGACAAAGATCACTCAACGATGTGCTGAATGTCAAGTCAACGATGATCATTTTGAATTTCGGCAATTGCATGGAATCTGTTTGAGATCTGGGTTGATAGAATCAACTAAATACTCTGACTGGGATCGTGAAACACGTTTAGATCAAAACAACATTTCTTTACTTTACTTTTGGACTCAAAAAGATGCCAAACAATCTTGGTTAATCTAACAAACACAAAATGTGTTGTAGTGATCACATGAAACATGATCACACAAAACGTGATAATGGCAACCAGACTTGAGAAGATGCAAATCACACTATCATTGCAACAGCATTGCTTAATTGTTAGACCTGTAATAAATGTGTAACAGTTTTAATGATACTAATCTCATTTAGCTATATTTATGAAAATAAGACTAAAGAATTTGTGAAAGCACAACTTGATCACACTTTTGATTAATGATGATGATTTATGTGTAACATTTTTACTGATACTTACTTTGCTTAACTTTATTTGTGAATATAGAACTGAAAAAGAATGCAAAACCACGCTTTGATCACGCTTTTGATAATATTCACAAACAGACTTAAGAACAACATCAGACTTGTGAATAAAGGCTTTGATGCTATTGGTGCATTTTGATCCTCATTATTGCAGTTAATAGACATTGTTCCCTCATTGATCCGCTCTGTTTAGTATTTACTGATACTATGCAGTAGTATCAGTAATAAGCTGTCTTCTCCATTATCCGTAAGTCTATTGTTTGCAATTTTTGAAAAAAATTCTTTTAAAAACTACAGCATGGATTCCTGCATCGTCTGTGATCAGATCATCAAGAAGCCCTCCTTTGCAATGGATGTGAATGGCGGCAATGCCATACCTGCAAAACTAGCATAAGCCACCATGACTACCATGGAGCACTCCGTTCCCTTGAATCAATCAATTGGCACTGTGAAGACTGCGATAACAGTACCCTGGTTCTATTTTCCAACAACATCTTTCAGCCTATGGTAAGTTCAATTAATCGTTTTTCTTCCCTTAAATTAAGTTATATAATTTACCTGAGCCTTATAAGCCCTTCTGATATTTTCGGAACCCCCTATGATTTGAGAAATTATTTTGTTTTAACTTAAACCTTTTTCATCCTTGGAAACTCAGTCAATCCATGATGCTGCTCCTGCTACGCCTCATGAGCCTGGCTACAATCCTTCTCCTACTTCTCCTGCTATGTCTCCTGAACCTCCTACATTTGATGATTTGTCACTAATGGAGCCTTCAGCACCAGATTCTGGACCAGCCAGCTTCAAGATTGAGTTTGAGATAGTGGAAAATTCCACAAAGTGGGGCATAAATAAGCTGGTGGGCAGCCATGGTTACACTTACAACGTTAAAAGATGTCAAGGTGGAAACACTGATTGGCAGTGCACTGTGAGACCAAAGGTACAGTTTTATATTCATTTCTTTCAGTTTTTTCAAGCAGAAAATTAAAGTGCTTGATCAAATGTAACTGAAAATTTGTTGATTTATGGTAATCGAAAAATTGATGTAATGCAATTTAAAATTTGTTGATGCAAAGTAACTGAAATTTTTTTAATCTAAACATTAGATTATGCACCCTCTTGCCATAGTTGGCCTCATAATCGGATTGTTGCATTTTATATTCTCCATCGGGTAATGCCTGTAGAGCTACTGTAGTTGAGAGGGCGTCAGGTGAACTTGTCTTGGGCCCCATGCCACACAATCACCCAGGGCAAGTGGGCACAAGTTTAGCAGCCCAGACTTGTATATTTTGGGGTGAAAAAATAAAGTTGTTGTTGTTGTTGTTGTTCTGGCATTGGCAATCGTCAATGAGGTGCTAACAGAGGAGCTGACAGATGATCCTTGCCCCAGTTTGCCAAAGCTAGTAAACCTTACCAAAGCAGCCAACTACCTTTGGCAGCAATTGAGACCAGTAGATCCTGTAGACCTTGAGTTTGAATTGCAGCCTGGGCACATCCCTGAGAATTTTCTCTGTGGAGATATTAAGGTTAGTATTCTACAATCAATGTGAAAGGCACTTGTGAACAAAGTTAATGGTTCAGGCCACTAATTCATTTGTATTTTCACTATCACATGTTATAGTTGCACGCATTTATTGTACTAACTATTGTATTATTAGGGAAGTTATTGAGTAGTATTTGATAGACGTTTCAAGAGAGATAGATAGGCTGAATTACAAAGATAAAATGAAAAGTATATCTTAAACAGCTAGAAGAACGTTTTGTTGTGGTTTTTGTTTAATTTTTCAAGTACATGGGTGTCATCACCCTATCTTCATCAGCAAGCAACAGCTAGAGGTGTTGTGCAGTGCCAGAGGTGTTGGTTAGTGCAAATTAGTAGTTTCTCAGTTTTGTTGCACATTTTCTCGTTTTGAGTTTGTGTCTGAATTATTTCTAAATTTTTATATATATTCTCTTCCTTTTCACCTCAGGGACAAAGTTTGCTTCCCCTGTACATGTTGATCTGGCTGCTACAAGAAGAGAGCTGCGTTACAACCCTCCAAATTTGAATGGTTTGAGGGCATAAACTGTGCAGACTTCAGTGACAATTGTATCAGCTGCTGCACGCAAAGATCTTTAGCCTGTAGTATCTGTAAAAGAACGGTGATCGGACAGCAAAGCAGTTGCTGTGAGCCTGCTCCAAACTCTACAGACTGCGAGATAATTAACAACCCAATTGTCAAACAACCTTGTAGCCTTGGAGCCACCAAATCTTTAAAAGTCATGATTAACAAAAGTTCTGTATTTCACTGTTTGACCATTCTGCAACATTACTGCAAGCATAGCTGCTTCTGGTTAATTCATTTGTTGTTTCTGGTCGCCCCAGCTCCCACAGCCTTTGTTGTCCATATCAGTTAATTGCAATCCAGTCAAGGTACTATTAAACATGTCCAGCTTTGATGTAATAAAAGCATGCACCAAATGCTCTCAATCAGATTGACTTGTGTAGTTTCTGATCTTACCAACATCTTTCAAAGCAATATAACCAGATTTACAAATGTTGGTAATATATTTTTGCCATTTGAAGATGTGAATCAACAAGGACTCCCACATCACAAATTGCTAGTTAAGGAACAGTATTTGCATTGATAATATTACGTCCCATAATTCGTTCATGATGCTTTGCAAACCGTGATGTTATATGTAATGGAAAAATTCTGTTTTATCTGGGTTGCAAATTAGTTCATTTTCACACCAGATAAGGATGTCCATGATGTATTCCTCAATTTTTGGAAATCATAACAGAATGATCATACCTGGGGTTAACAAAAAGGTAAACTGTGTATCATCTCATTCTCACAAACATTAATATTTGAATGAGTTTACTGCAATATGCTGAGCGAAAGCATTCTTTAATTCTTTGGTTCATGCAACAGCCATCAAAGCTTGAAATCTAAATCTAAATATAAATCTTAAAACTTTTTTGTACATAATGAAATCGATTTGTCTTTAAGGTGAATCTTTTCTTCTTTTTCTGGTTTCTTTTCCTGATCAGTGTTAGCCAGACAGAAGAACTTGTCCTCTCAAGTCTCTTTTACCTCATATGGTACGAATCTTTTGCTGCTTGTGGTACTGATTCTAGTTGAAATATAGTGAATGAGTCTAACTGAGGTTGATGGGAATGCCTCCATAAGGATCAAACAGACTCCAGAAAATTAGGTAACAAGGCACCTCCCCTTTACTTTCATCAGTCCATTGACAATCAAATTTGCTTGATGAAATTGTTTAAGCAATGCTTCAGATATTGAATTGGAGAATTGAGCATTGCCTTTGCTGTCTGATAGGTATTGAGTTCTTGATGGTCAAGGAAGGTGGGAAAAGAGCAACCCCTCTTCCTCTATTGTTGGCATTGGTGACCAAGCTGTTAAAGCATTCACTTTAATGCCACACAAAACTTGATTTGTCACAAAATTCCTTGAGGATAATTTTTCAAAGGCATAAAATTTACAAAACATTCATATAGTGCAGAAATGAATTGCTCCTATTTGTCTGATATTTATTTGTTAAATTAGTAGGGAATGAAAATTGAAGACATTAACATAAAATAATGTAGTAAATAAAAAACTTAACTTTTAATTTACAATTAAGAATTCAAACAGAAACTTTTCAAATGAAAGTATTCTGCAAAGGCATGTATTAACAAACTTAGCTTCCTGTTTTGTAAGATTGACATCAGCTTTTAGCTTGGCTACTTGCACTTTTTCTCAAACTAAGAATAGGTGCATGCAAAAGTAATCTGGCGGCTATTTCCCAACTGTGGTTTTATTACTTTGCTAACACTGAGGATATGAAAAAAAAGAATGGAATAAAACTCCACAAGAAACAGTGTAAGTGCTCAAGTCAAAGCTATCCATGCCATGCTAACATGCCTGCTTTGCTAGGCTACTCCCCAACAGGGGAAATGACCAAGTTAAGAAATTACAAATACATACCATTCCCCAACTAAGCAGTTTACTGCTTCACCAGCCCCATTTGCATCCTAAAGAGAAAGCCACACCAATTATCAACAAGAACCATGCCTCCCCTGTGCAGAAAGAAGAGTTATATGAGTCTGATTGAGCCTACTATCATAAGAGGCCAATGCAGATAACAGTGGTGTTTGACTCATCTGCCAAACACTGATGTTTTACTCTGAACAAAGTGCTGCTATCAGGGCCAGACCTCATGAACAGCCTGCAAGGAGTGGTAGTTTGCTTTATGAGGGCAGCCTATATGAGCAACATTGAATAGATGTACCACTCCTTTCACATAAACCCTGAGCACAGATATTTCCTTCTGTTCCCCTATACTATCACATGACTGTAGAAACACAACAGTACTCTCAGTTTCTGTAACTTGACAAACGTTTCAATCAAGTATCTCTTTCGTCACTGTTAATTTTTCTCATCATGCTAAAAGAATGTTGCTCTTTCCTCTTCCGGCAAGCTTAAGATGACTGCAAAATGTGAAAAAATGGGCCATTTCCCTCCCAAGTATCCTGATCTAGATGAGGAAGTGATGGAGAGGTTTTCACAGTAGAGAGACCAAATATTTCACGTGTAATGTGAAATGAAGAGTTTTGCTCAGTTGAGTGAGATTGTCTTTCAATGTGTGGGAAGAAAAGAATCTGATTAGTGGTCAGAATTCCTTTGTTGTCATGACAATTCTAAAACATGTCATACAAAGAGTGCTGCAGTCACAGAATTAACAATCATTTCACACCAGCAGTAAGTTTGCAACCGAACTTGTTCTGAACCCCAAACCCTCGGCTATTGGCCAAACCCCCCTTCTCATGAAAATCTTTAAGATCTTTAAACACTCAGCAATGTCAAGGATATGACAATGCACTTTCATGGTGTAGAAACAGGTAAAAAACATCAACAGCTTACAACTTGTTAAAGTTCAGCCAATCTGTTTGTTTATAACTGGAGGTGCAGGTGCTGGCAGATCACATCTTATAAAATAATTTATCACACTGCTACAGAGTTTTAGACATGGATTGTGTAATCCTGAAAAACCAACAGTATCACTATTGGTTAAGAATATATGAAAGTCATATATTTCATTCCTTTCATTCACAAGTATCACTAATGGCACCAAAAGGTGCAGCTATAATCAAATTAATGTTACTACAATATTTACTGCATTAGCAATACCAAAACAATCAGGTCAAAATCTTCCACCAATGTCAGACCAGAAATGAACACAAAGAGGAATGGCACCAAAAATAATCTATGAAAACTCCATACGATGTTATGCATAAAGATAGGTTTTGTCATGGTTCAAATGATCTGCTTTTGATTTGCTTCAAGGGGGTCCTCAAAGTTTCACTTGATTCCCACCTTTATATGACATGAATGAACAATGTGTATCATTTATTTTAATTCAGACTCAACTGTTTACAAGGGAACCTTTCAAAAGTGGGACAACTGATATGTTCACTCGCCAATAGAAGCTTACAATCATCACAAGCATCTTTTCAACACCAAGAGGGTAAAGGTGACCAAAAAACAGGTGCTTGAAAAAATTGCAGAATATTTCAATGCCACTGCAGACGTTACTATCAGTGGCAATCAGTGTCTTTGAAAATGGACCAAATTAGAACAGTAGTATAGAGAAATAGAAGACAACTATAAAAGAACAGGAAGAGGCAGAAAGGATTCGAAATTCCTCGACAAAATGGCTGATTGCATTGGCCAAAATCCTAAAGTTAATCCAGCATTTACATTTCATGCATCAAGTGAAAGTCAGGCATCCAGATCAGAATTTCCATCAACCACCAGCAGCACTACTGACAACCAAAACCTGCTCAGACCGCAGTGATGAAGGTTCTGATGACTATGAAAATCAAGAGAAAAAGGAACTGAAAAATAGCAGACAGCACACTTTCCTACAAACATATACCAAAGAAAGAGAGAAGGCTGAAGAAAAAAAGTTAAGCTTTCTAGGGGAGATGAAAGATGAAAAAAGCAATATTTTAGCCAATTTCTCAAGACATTAAAAAACAATGGATGAAGAGATTTGACAAAAAAATCTAGCTTTTATGCAGATCAAAGTTTAGATTTGTTAGTTTTCTTTCCTAAAAACATATACCCAAAAAAAGGGGGGAAGGCCAGAGAACAAAAGTTACACCTTCTAAGGGAGATGAAAGATAAAAAAAAGCAGTTTCTAAGGAAATTCGGGAGATATTTTTAAAAAAGTGCAAGTATATCTGGCTTTTAGCAATATCAAAGTTCAGATTTGCTTGTTAATTAATTGTGCATTTTGAAGTGTATTAAAACCGGATGTTTGAGTTAACCATAAGTTTGTAATCCTATAACATCATGATTATAAAGCATTAGAATACAGAATTTAACATCTGGCGACAAGGATGGGACAGTAAAGGACACTTTTGTGAAATTTTTAAAGGAGATTTGCATATGTTAGGAGACGTAGTTTGGTGTGATACCTGGGGGATTGGACGAGACAGGAAGTTCGACAAGTACTGCCACTAACAGTGGAGTTGTGATATCAGTGGCTGTAGAGGTTGGTGGTTTACAGCCTTTTCAAGTAAATAGGGATCTGCACTCCATTTCACTGCACTGGAAAAGCTTTCGAGTTATACGTGCTGGGAAAAGGGATCATAAACATCCAGAAACATGGCCTTTTCCTTCACACAGCCAGTCTTGAGGTTCAAGACGTTTATTTTACTCTTGCTATTTTACTCTTGCTACTGATGGTGAAGATAGGGATTACCCCACCACACCTAAGGTACTAGATGATTACTTTATTCCTAAAGCTAATGTACCTTTCAAGAGACAATTGTTTTGCCAAATTACTCAAAGTAGCAAGGAGACTATTGATCAATTTGTCTGTCAGCTGAGACAACACACAGCCTCATGTGACTTTGGGGAGCAGGAGGATGAGTACATCAGAGACCAGTTAATTGATAAATGTTATTCTGTGAAGTTGCGTCAAAAGTTCCTTGAAAAAGATGGCAGTGCTGCTCTGGAATAGGAATGTTGACAGGAGGAGTTGTTTTAACTTTGGCCAGAGGATCATTTTGCAAAGGATAGAAGATGTCCTGCAAGGGGTCGTAAATATGACCAGTGTGGAGAATTCAGTCATTTAAAGTGAAGTGTCAGAGAGGGACATCCCAAAATTTTCAGCCGGGGGAAAGATGAGGTATCAATCGCTGAGATAAGAAAGTTGAGCCAAAGATAACTGAGAGCAGCAAGAAGACAAACACAAATTTTATAGATGGTGATGGTCATAGAAATAGAAGTGTAAAACAAAATGAAAGACCCAGCACTGGTTCTGAGTATGTGGTTTCTGTAGGAGATGATACACGACAGAGTAATGGAATAACAACCCTGTGTGTTGGAGGTGTCCATTTTCCAAATCTCCAAATTGACTCTGGTGTAACAAGCAACTTGCTAGGCAAACCAACGTGGGAGTGGCTTAAGACTTGGAGAATTTGGTGCAAAACCCAAAAAGATGCCAAGGTC